AAAAATCCTCGTTACATTATTTGTTTTGCATACATGGCATACTTAATTTAATTAATTTTCATTAACATTACATAATTTATTTCTTTTTCCTTAAAATCAATTCCGTTATATTTCACTCACCATTAGCTTATTTTGTGAACTATAAAACATTGAAAATAAATGTTAAACCTGATTTCAGTTCTTTTATTTTAATCTAAATATAACTCCCTCATATCCGGACTTTGTAACCAATTCCTCATATCCGGACTTTGTAACCAATTCCTCATATCCGGACTTTGTAACCAATTCCTCATATCCGGACTTTGTAACCAATTCCTCATATCCGGACTTTGTAACCAATTCCTCATATCCGGAAGGCCTTCTTAGTCCGGTTGTCAGGGATTCTACTGTATTTAAAAAGTTTATCAAATTCTTTTGCAGGAATGTTCTATCGCACACACACACACACATCCATACACACACACATACACACACATACACACACATACACACACACATACACACACATACACACACATACACACACACATGCACACATACACACACACACATGCACACACGGTATGGATGCTGTTGATAAAATAGATTTTATGTTCTTTGAAATTTTCCATCAAAATATCTAATCTGTTAGCTTCTACAGTGAGGTCTGTGTCTAGGGTTAAGTCCCATAGCACTATAAAAAACATCACCTTCTGAAACGGGTGGTGTTTTCTGCTTGTAGCATTTCTATATCGGGGTAGATTCCAATGGCGTATCTTCGCTTGAACGTATTGCCCTACACCCTAACCTTGTCGATTTTAAAATTTTTTAAATTAATTTGGTACTAGGCTAGAGTAGACTGATATTAAATAATCAATCGCTTCTACAGTGTGTGTACGGAAAAGACATATTGGATCTACGCCATTTCTTTAAAAATGTGCCTTGATAAAAAGATTTATTATTTTATTTTCTGACTGGTATCAGCATGGCTGATGCTAACCTCCAAGCGAGCAACTCTTTGCATCTTCTTGGGCTCACGCTTTATACTGACATGAAGTGAGATTATATTAACAGATCATGGCATCATATCAGAGAGATGAAATTTAAATTTTTATTATTGCATTATTCCAAACTTTCAACACATCCGCAGATAGCTATTAATGTCTACAACTGAGCACAAAGAGTTATTAATTAAAAAAATTACTAATTAATCTATAATATTATCCATAACTACATGTATAAGAATGTGGTTTTTGATAAAAGTTAAAAAATAATCATAAATACATAAAAAATATGTATATTGTCGAAAATTCCTTTTTCCACTATATAGCTATTTGTTCTGTTATAATGCTTATTACTTTAACAATAATAATACTGAATAATTTTTGTTTAAACATTAATGTATATTTAATCACGTCTCCCTCATAGCTGTTACGATCTGTGAATCAATTTCTAAATCTACTCCTAAGAAAATTACTTCACTATGTCGCGACAGACAATTTTTCTTGTCGAAATCCATCTTGCACATTTATAAACCAAACATTCTTCCTTGCATTGAATACTGTTTCCATATTTGGTCTGATGCTCCTACTTCATATCTTGAGATTCTTGACAAAATTCAAAGAAAAGTCTGTAATGTAATCGATTCTGTTTGAACTATCATCTCGACTTGAGTCATTTTCTCACCAACATGGATATCATCTGTTTTTCCTACAAAAATATTTTCATAGCAATTGTTCTGATGAGCTTTTCTCCTTGGTGCCTCGACTGCATGAATTTAAGCGCAGTACTAGATTGGCAATTAGGTCTCACGGTTTTAATGTTGAAATAACAAAAGATGCAACCGTCAGTTCTATTCTAATAGTTTCTTTTCTCGCATTTCTAGCCTGTGAGTCTCCCTTATGATTTCTTGCTTCTCTGCCACCTATAATCTTAAAAAAAAAAACCTGAAATGCAAGTCCAATCACAATCTTCTGTCTTTCTGAAAACCTGTTCTGGTTTTCTCTTTTCCCCTCATTTTTCACTAAAGTTTTCTCATTCTCTGTCCTTCCCAGTAATTCTATGCATCCTATTTACATTATTGCCTTGCTTGGAGTGAAATGATTTTTTAAAAATCCCTTCAGGATATAGACGCTTATGGCTCCCCATAGTATATATTTTTCCTGTTATTTACGAATTGTCATGGCTTCTGTAAAAATAGTGAAATATCTTCTTGTTGCCATCTCAATGGTTTTAAATTCAGAATTTTCTTTCTCCCTGATTGGTTACCACCCACTGGTAAAGAGCCAAGTCTACCCTTTTATTTATCGTCTATCTGGACGGTTTTTTTTCCCTTGATTTCTGGTGTATACTCATTTCTTTCCGGGTCCCGCCCAAAGATCTAAGGTCAGAAATGGCATCATGACATTTTCCACTGAGCAGTTTTGAAAAAAATATTATTATTATTATTATTATTGAGTGAGAGAGAAGCATGTATACAAAGTCCAATGTACCCATCATGACACATAGTCCGATAAGAGTAAAACAGACACATGCAGCACAGCCAAATGAGTACGATATGTTGATAGGTTTTAGTAAAAGCTGCGCCTTATCGAACTGATGTTCTCGGCTGACATAAAGTGCAAAGATTACATTGAATCAATTGGTAGGTTTGCTGCTAGGAAAGTTGGTTCACTGTACCGTGCTAGACAATTATTCTCATCAGAATCTATCTTACATATCTATAAATCTACCATTCGTTCTTGCTTTCAATACTGCTGTCATATCTGGTCTGGTGCTCCTGCTATATATTTAGAGATTCTTGATAAAGTCCAAAGAAGAATCTGCAATGTTACTGGTCCTTACCTGGCGTCTCGGCATCACACACTTCCCAACCGCCGTAACGTAGCTTCCCTTTGCCTTTTCTATAAATACTTTCATTAATTGTCTATATTTCTGAGATGACGTATTATAATTATTTACGCTATTTACATTGAAGGCTGGAGCGTACAACGGCCGAAACGTCGTGAATACGGCAATAAAGACGAAAAGAGCAGTCCGAACAATGTAAATAGTGTAAATAAATAATTTCATAATTATTCTGATGAACTTTCCTTTATGGTATTTAGATTTTATGAATTGAAGCGCAGTACTAGATTGGCGGTAAGGTCTCATCATTTTACAGTTGAAATTGCTGCATATAACCGTAAGTTTTATTTCATGAATGACTTTCGCTGGATTTCGCAATTAATTTCAATTATTCCCAAATTCATTTCTCAGTCATAAAAATTGTTATCGTACAAAAAATTCGTTGCCAAAAATCACATAGAAATCGCCGAAAACAATCGCAGGAATGAAAACTTGAGAATCCAAAATGTCAGGTTTGAGGGCCGAGATCGGACCCGGAATGGTTTTAATTTGCTCACGGATTCGACTTGATTCCAAAATGGTATACGTTGAAATACGACCTCTAAGAGTAAAGTTGAAAATGTATGACACACTGATATTCGCATTTATTTATATAAGATGTGGATATGTATGTATACGTATGTATGGATGGATGGAAGGATGCGTATGTGGGTGTGGTGTGTGTGGTTAATTTTCCAAAAAATATATAGGCGTTTGACTGAGTGAGTAGAACACTCGCTTAGCGACCAGAAAAGTAACTTCTCTCTCTCTCTCTCTCTCTCTCTCTCTCTTTCTCTCTTTTCATTTTGTCTTCCCTGCAAAACTGTACTTGATATATACAAATTTATATCGGTATATATATATATATGAAAAAGTCAAAAGGAAAACTTATCTTAGCCGACGCGTTTCATCCTATGAGGGACTTTATCAAGGCTAATATATATATATATATATATATATATATATAGTTAGTTAGTTAGTTAGTTAGTTTATGCAAAACTAGGTAATCCGTATGGGTATACCCAAAGAGGATGATATCCGGAGAGCTCAATGTAAATTCAGAGCAAATATGTTTGAATAAAAAACAGACCACTTTAAGGTTCCATGTAATAAATTATTTCACCACAGCCCTTTTAAAGGGCTCTGGATCATCAGACTTTACTTCCAAAAGTTGAAATGAAAAAAAAAAAAAATGAAAACTAGACTTTGTCTTTTTTTTTTCATTTCAACCTTTGGAAGTAAAGTCTGATGATTCAGATCCCTTTAAAATAATTTATTACATGGAACCTTAAAGTGGTCTGTTTTTTATTCAAATATATATATATATATATATATATATATATATATATGACTTCCTAAACTTTCCAATGTATTTGTTTCATTTAAAAAAGGGGGAGGTGAAGAAGAACATGAGCGAGGAGGAGGAGAAGAAGGAGGAGGAAGAGGAGGGGGAGAAGTAGAAGAAGAAAACCGACAAGAAGAAGGAAGAGGAGGAGGAGGAGGCTGGTGAGATAAACAAAAGAAAGAGTCAGTTTATCCATATTTGTCCAATCCTAGAATTGGTAAAATCTCCAAGACTTTGTATTATGTGCGAGGAACGAAGAAAAATTCTTCGCCAAAGATTTTCAAGTAAATCAAGCGTGACTGTCTTCTTGAAACATTTCAGGTAAAATACCAGTTGTCCTTTTGCGATAACTTTCAAATTGGTCATAACACATACATATTATGACCCACTTTCTCTCGCATATTGAACCCCCTGAATGGAACCTTTCTAGCAACACAGGTTGCAGTAAATGACACTCATTGTAACCCAATGACCCCGGCACATTGAACCTTTACACGTGACTCCCGTTTATTGGTTGGCTAGGGTCATTTAGTTTGTTTTGATGTATCTAAACCACCGTGGAATTCTAATAACTATTTTTCTTATCATTATTATTATTATTATTATTATTATTATTATTGATTCTTTGTGCAGAATTGGAGATATTCTGATCAGACGTATCATATATCATGCTGTCCAACAAAGCCACAGCTGTTGAGTTTATGGTTTCGTTAAGAAGGAAGGAAGGGAGGGAGGAAGGAAGGAATGGAAGGAATTGAAAACAAAGAAAGGAAGAGTGAAGGAAATAGGATTAAACAAATAGAAAATGAAAGAAAGAAAGAAAGAAAGAAAGAAAGAAAGAAAGAAAGAAAGAAAGAAAGAAAGAAAGAAATAGAAGTAGAAAGAAAGAAAGAAAGAAAGAAAGAAAGAAAGAAAGAAAGAAATAAAGAAATAAAGAAAGAAAGAAATAGAAGTAGAAAGAAAGAAAGAAATAAAGAAAGCAATAGAAGAAGAAAGAAAGAAAGAAAGAAAGAAAGAAAGAAAGAAAGAAAGAAAGAAAAAAGAAAGAAAGAAAGAAAGATATATAGAGTGAAGGGGTATAGGAGTAAAAAGAAAAAAAAACAAACAAAGAGAGATGACGAATAAAAGGAATAGAAAGAAAGAAAATTAAATAAGTAAATAAAAGCAATGAAAATGAAAGAAAGTAAAAGGGAAACGGAAATGAATGGAAATTCTTACAGCTCAATGGTGAAAGCAAAGGAAATTCAAATTGTGAGTAAAGATGAAAATCTACCGAAATGTTAAATCTGAAGCGAAACAAACGTCAAAAAAGAATAAAGCAGAAAGAGGAAAAGCAAAGTTCCGTTTCCTTTGTGTGGCTGAATGTCATCACGTCTTTCATTTCAAATCGATAACACTGACTTTATAATAAATCACTTTCTTTATTCAACGAACCCAAAAATATTTTTAAGCGTGAAATATTGACTTTAAGTCCGTATTCACAAGTCTTCAAAATGACGTCTATTCACATCACTATTCGAAACAATAAGTAAAAGTAGAAAAATCCGAAGTCCTTAGTGACAACATATAAATACTTGACACTCAGCGGATTATTTGGTTAAATTTTTAGTGCTCTGAGACACCGAAAAAGTCACAAAGAAAAAATAAAAGACAAAACCAATTTATTAAACTTCAAATTTGTTTTATTTATAAAGCGGTTAGTATTCTGTTCTCAAAGATCATGTGTTTGATTTTTGGTTGTCTCAGGAATTGTCTAATAAATATAAATTTATATCACTTTTAACATCTAAAATTGCTGATTTCATTAACATTTAAAAAAGACATTTTATAGAAAATCTGATAAAATTTTTACTCACTTGGGCACTATTATAGTTTTGCATAACCCCCAATGTCAAAACACCAAATATTTATTTCTTAAAATTTGTATTATGGCATTTTAATTGAATATCTGGAAACTATTTCAATCTATAGAAGTAGATAGGTTTGCCTATCGTCCGGTTAACACTCCTCCCCAGTCTTTTGAACAGGAGTAGAGGTTTATCCCTTGTTTCCTGTTTAGGATTGGGTTTCCGGTTCCATCTAAAGTCTGTTTCATCTCTGTTCTTCTTATCTTTCCTATGCTAATACTACTCCAAACAGTAGCCCTCTACCTTGAGTGACTCTTGGGCCTTGCATTGGGGGAAGATTATTTTTAAAAAATCTGCTAACAACATACTTGAAAACCAAACCTGCATAAGTGTGTTTTTGTGTGTGAGTACGCATTCGCTTGCAGATAGCCAAAGCAACATCTTTTAGATCTGCTCGCTTCTTCAAGCTTGGCATATGTGCAGTGTATCATTAGGACGTGGATGATCATGGTTCTCCATAACTTCCTATTCTTTATTGCTCTAAGCACTCTTTGTCTCCTTGCTATATCACCCAGTTACTGTTCGGCTATCCGTTTACACAAGCTTATTAGATAGGTTGGAGACTCCTTGGGGAATTCACTTCACTTCTAGCAGTTGACTACTTCTTCTACGCGCCTCTGGTGAATCTTATATGTGTTGTTCTTGTCCTAAGTATTATCGTTCATTACCAACCTTCGCGTGATTATTCTGTTCAGTAACCATCCCTAAGTTACAACATTCGAATTTCGTTGTCATATACTATGTCGTCTTTTATAACACTTCTCAAATTTCTGTACTTGCCTGATTTTGATGTCTCCAATTAGTTGACAAGCCAACAAAAGACACTGGAATGTGATATACACGATTAGAAGGATACCGGAGAGTGCAATACGAAATGCAGAAGGATGTTCACTTGTATTTTATAGATTACGCAAAAGCATTTGATAATGTAGAGCACAAAGATCTATTTGAACTGTTAGGAGAACTTGATCTATTTGGAAAAGACTTTAGAATAATCCAGAACTTATATTGGGGGCAAACCGCCTACATACGGATAAAAAATGAATCGAGTAGCTAAACCAAAATAGAAAGGGATATGAGACAAGGATCTATATTTTATAGATTACGTAAAGGTATTTGATAAGGTAGATCAGGTTTTTCTAACAGTCCAAATAGATCTTTAAACTCTTAGGAAAACCTGATCTATTTGGAAAAAAAAAAGTTAGAATAATCCAGAACTTATATTGCGAGCAAACCGCGGATGGAAAATGAATTTAGTAGCTATACAAAAATAGAAAAGGGTGTGAGACAAGGATGTCTCATCTCGCCAGATTTATTCAACCTCTTCAGCGTTGCTATCCTAAGGGAGTTGGGACCCTACCAGGATTTATCATTGCTGGCTGTAATCTTAGTAATATAAAATACACTAATGACACTGTATTGATGGCTGACACGGAAAGAAAACGACGGGGAAATCCTTGACAGGTTGGTAAAAGAAAGCGAAAAGAAAGGACTAAGCACCAAGTGCAAAATGCAGGAAATCTGGACATCAGCAAGAGAAAAAAACTGCAAGTTACAAGTTGATGTCAATATCAATCAAGTACAGATGTTTAAATATCTGGAAATTGTTTAAACATAGCATGGAAAATGCTGTACCAAAATTTGAACACGTATTGGACAAATGAAAGAGACATTTTAAAGATAAGCAAAGTGCCGAAAAAAAAAAAATTCGTTAGAAACGAGAAAAAGAATGTTGGATTGTTATGTGGTATCCATCTTCTTATTTAACAGAGAATGCTGGAGAATCTCTGTACGGGTCAGGAGAAAACTGGAGTAAACAGAAATGTGGTTCTACGGAAGGATATTGAGAATTCCATGAACGGAACGAGTTAGCAACATAGAAATCAAAGAAAATGGCAACAAAAAGAACACTTGAGGATCAAGAAAATCAGTTGAAATTCCTTGGGCACATACTATTCTGGGTATGACGATAAACTACATCCGCGTCCTGGGTAAGACGATAAACTACGTCCAGCAGCAAGACCTCTGATCAGGAGGTTTTGAGAAACGTTGAACCACCTCTTAATTACTAATGTTCCCAAGTCCGCCCTGTACCGGGGTGGTAGCACCTGTTAGGGTCCCAGCTATGGGCAAATACTTAACCCCGAAACTGGGGTAAGAACTCTATGAAAGTGTAAAAACAGGTTTTAATACCAGAAATACTTTGTAAAAAAAATTATTTCCAGCAATACATTTTTGAAGAAAAAAAAACAATTACCAGCAATTCATTTTTGAAAAATATTACCAATAATGTTTTTTAAAAAATAAATATTACCAGCAATACATTTTTGAAAGATTATTACCAGCAATACATTTTTGAAGGAAAAATATTAGCAGAAACAGATTTTTGACAAAACAAAATATTAACAGACAATAAAAATTTTGTCGGCATTAAATAACCCATTGAGGTTGATATGCCATAAAGCAAAAGAAACCAAACCAAACCTTGGACACATAATGAGGAAAAAGGGTTTAGAAAATTTAACCCTCACTGGGAGCAACAGAGATAGAGAGACAACTACCTGACAAGCTTGTGTGAAGGGATGGTGGATCGGGTGCCTAAGCAAAGGGAACAAACTGATAATGTCCACAAGTGCGAGAAAGTTGTGGGTATCCATGATCCCGGATATTCTAAAGATTAGTTTTGTTTTGTATGCTTAACGGCATATCAACTCCTTATGGGTCATTTAATGCTGAAATTTAATTTTGGGAGGGAGATTTAGTAAATTTTCATAAAAATGTACTACTGGTAATATTGTCTTTAACGAAAAGAACAGACCAAGATGCCATTAACTAATTCTTTTTCTATGTTCCAAAAAAGTTTTTGTTGGTAATTTTTTTTTTTTTTTTTTTTTACCAAAATTTATTGCTGTTCATTATTTTACTATGAAAATCTATTGGCAGCACCTTCACTATAAAAATGTGTTTCTACATTTTCATAGTGTTTTCAACCCAGTTTGGGGGTTAATTATTTCCCCATAGCTGGGACCCTAACAGGTGCTACCACCCCGGGTGAGGGTGGACCTGGGAACAATAGCAATTAAGAGGTGGTTCCAAGCTCCTCAAAGCCTCCAGATCAGAGACCTTACTGCAGGACATACCCAGGACGATGTTTTGAATAGACACGGAACATAGAAAAAGAATTAGTTAATGGCATCTTGGTCTGTTCTTTTCGTTAAAGACAATATGTACAGGAAAATTAGTGAAAGTATTTTACAGAATGCGCTGAGAAAACTAACGAGGAATTCAGGTCGAAGCAAATGGGAAACTAAATTCAACATTGTTAACTTTTACTTAAATTGAAGCTACATTATTTACATTATTCAGACTATTGTCCTCATCTTTGTCGCCAGAGAAAAGCAATGATAACAACTAAGTTTAAATATGAGCTCTGGTAAAAACATGAAATGATAACAGCATGATAACAGCAAAATTGCAATATGAGCACTGGTAAAAATAGTTGCTGAAGACATTAGGTTTATAATACCCATAAATTCATACCCAGATGTCCTCAAGGACACATGACACAGTGGATAAAGGGGTTGGTTAAATCCAGTGACAGGACCACAATACCCGGTTAAGACAGTGGAGAACTTTCAGAGGGAAAGTTAGCACGTCAAACGTGGAACTAGAACAGTCTACCCCAGTGAGTAGCCTCCTGAAAGGCCGAAACGTTGTGATAAATATGGCGACAAAGATGAGGACAATAGTCCAAATAATGTAAATATTGTACATAATACCTCATCTCAGAAATATAGACAGAAATTGAAGCTACTAATAACGAAAAATATTATGGATGCAAATTTGGAAAAAAAATTTTAAAAGTTAGAATATGTATTTGTTACGTCGTTGATGACAAAGTATGCTCGCTTGGTAACGTAGTAGAGACTTTGTAATCACAGATACCAATTATAATACGCCGTTGAACAATACTGATGTCAGACGTCTTAGAATAATATCTGTACTTATAGTAATTCGGAAGAAAATAACGGTCTGAATAATATAGAGGATAGAGGAGAAATAGTGAGTACATATAATAGAGAGGATAAACTAGGAATAGCGGACACAACTAGACGTCACGTGACTTCCTCTATATAAGCGTTTCCGCTATGGTCACATGACCTTCCTAATAAGTACTATTGTTATTCGAAGGCGTCTGACACAAGTATTTTCTTTCAAAATCGCATGTGTTTGTTCACTTGCGATCTACGTTCAAACACCAATGTCAGCAATGACATTTTATTCCTTTTTTTATTTATTTATTTTTTTTTAAGCATTACGCCCCAAGCAAGGCGTGAAGCCACTAGGATGCAGGGGGTTGCGGAAGATTTGGAGCGAGAGCAGATAGGAATGATAGAAGAAAGGACGAGGTGAGGGATAGTGGGTAGATCAAGGTAACTGGAGATGTCGGTTGACATTACATTTGAACAGTTGGAGATTATAGCTCTCAGGGAAACAGTAATTGGGGAGGGTGTTCCACTGGCGAGAGGTGCGAGGTATGAAGCTATTGGAGTAGAATAGACGGCTACATTTAAAAGTTTCTACAGTGTAAGGGTGGGAGCGGGATGCCAGCCTCGTAGGGCGCTTGAATTCATGGAGTCTGGGGACCAGTGAAAGCAACTCATCAGAGCAATTACCATGGAAGTATTTGTAGAAAAGACAGAGAGAGGCGACGGCGCGTCTGTGAGAGAGTGACTGTAGACGAGACGCCAGATCAGGGCCAATTATATTACATATCCGTCTCTGGATCTTGTCAAGAACTCCGAGGTAAGCAGAAGGTGCTCCAGCCCATATATGGCAGCAATACTCCATGCAAGGGCGAATGGTTGTTTTGTATATTTGAAGTATCGATTCAGGAGAGAAAAATTTCCTGGCGCGACACAGAAAGCCAACTTTCCTCGCGGTGGAAGAAGCAATTGACTCAATGTATTTGTTCCATCTCAGGTCAGCAGTCAGCGTGAGACCGAGCAGACGCAGGGAATTGCTCTCAGGAAGTTGACTATCAGACATTATAATGGGGGGCAGGGAAGGATCTCTATGGTGGTTAATGGAGAGTAATTTAGTTTTTGAGGCTATACAACAAGTTATTAATCAGACCGTGTTCCTTTAGCATGTAAGTGATCATGCTTCTCCACAACTTCCTATCCATCGTTTCTCTAAACAATATATGTCTTTTTACTATCCTTACAACTTCTGTCCATTGATACAATTCTGTTAGGTTCGTTATTCACTGCATTCCTCTATCGCTTTTGCTTTTAATATATCCTGCGGGTGTCAGATTTTTCAACCTACTTTCTTCATTATGTGTCCCAGAATTTCAATTGTCTCCTTCTGATTTTATGTAGATTATCATTTTTGTTTCTATTTTCCGTAAATCTTCCTCACTAATGATAGGCTCCGTCCATCTCTGTTGCTACGAGTCTCTGCTTCCTCTGGGAGGAAATTGTCCAGCATTATGTAAGAGAATTAATATTACATTGCACTTTCTTCTTCTTTTCTAACGAAAATTTCCCGTTTCTTAATACTTTGCTCAACTTTTGGAAGGCATCTTTCTCTATATCAATGTGCCCTCAGATTTCGGTGTCACAACATTTTCCATCCTCTGTTAAAATAATTCCGAGATATTCAAACATCTGTATTTGCTTGACATCACCAGTTGGTGGCTCGCATCTTGCCGGTAGCCATACATTCCATCTTCTTGCAATTAATTGTTAGTCCTTTCTTCTCCTTTTCCTTTACAGCCTTGTCTATGAGTTTTTGCAAATCTCTTGCTAACAATATCGTATCATCTGCGTATCTTGTGTTTGTAATATTGTGCCCACCGATAATAAATCCTGGTATCATTTCTAGTTCCTTTGGATTACTTTGCTGTAACGCAAGGCTTCTTAACCTAGGCTCCATAGACGGATTTCAAGGGGCCCGTGAGGATCAGATAAAAATTAATATTTATATTCTCTATACAACCCTTGTCCCAGTCAACAGTTTCCCGTTGAAAGAAGTAAAAGAAAATTCACCCTGCCACCGCTTGAAATAAAACGCACCCAGTCACTACTTACAGTGCCGACCGTTAGTCATATTGTAACTTACTGTTGGGTCCATGTCTACCATTTAAATGTGTGTCATCATTCTTTGCACGACAGCCATCTTTTACCACTAAACCAAGTGATAACTCTCATTTTCCACGGTTTGAGTATCTTCTCATATACAAGCGAAAAGTGATTTGCGTGTAGTGTGCATGACGGTGCAGTATGGAGAAATGCATGTACAAGACCAATCAGACTGTGGGTATCTGCTTGTCTGTCTGTATGTCTATGGGCTAGTTCTCATAGAGGTCCGTGACACAAAAAAGGCTGCGTCCTGGGTAAAGACGATAAACTGCATCCGCGTCCGGGATAAGACGATAAACTACATCCGCGTCATGGGTAAGACAATAAACTACGTCCAACAGCAAGGCCTCTGATCAGGAGGTTTTGAGGAGCGTAGAACCAGGTCCACTCTGAGTCGGGGTGGTAGCACCTGATAGGGTCCCAGCTATGGGCAGATAGTAAACACGAAAACTGGAGTCAAAACACTATGAAAGTGTAAATAGGTTTTAATAACAGCAAAACATTTTTGTAAAAATATTACCAGCAATTAATTTTTGAAGAAAAAATTATTACCAGCAATGAATTTTTGAAGGAAAAATATTACCAGCAATGAATTTTTGAAGAAAAAATATTACCAGCGATTAATTTTTGAAAAAAGAAACATTACAAACAATACGTTTTTGAAAAAAAAAATTACCAGCAATAGATTTTTGGGGAAAAAAATATCACCATATTTAAATGGTAGACATGGACCCAATAGTAAGTTGGGTGAGTAAGATATGACTAGAGGTCGGTATTAAATAACCCATTGAGGTGTTGATATGCCATAAAACAAACAAATACCTAAACCCAAATCAAAAAAGGCTAAGAACTACTGCTTTAAAGATTAAATAAATCTGGTGAGAAGACACATTTTTTTCTAACGACACTTTCTGTTTTGGTGTACTTCATCAAATAATTTTCTATCTCGATGAAGACATTTTGCTTCAAGTACAAGTTGTGGATTATTCAAAATAAATCAAATTTCCTGCGCGGTTTAAATAGGTTTTTCTGTCCTCTTGATATATCGTAACATCTACCAAGCCGAATAAAAGACACCTTAGCGTTACAATGGCCGAAACTTGAGTTCAAAGACGAAAAAAGGTTGTCTGTAAGAACCACTGTTTTATGCTAACAAGAATTGTCTCTGAAATTTAGGCACAAAGATGGCCGAACAATAAAGGAATTCGCATTTGAGACATTTATCTAATATTTTTAAAGAAATAAAATTTAGAGGTGCGTCCCTCCATTCACAAAAGAATTGAACAAAGGAAAAAGAAAGTATGTAATGGAATGATAAACATGCCCATGAAAAAAAAATTGAGGGGTTGATTTTAGTGGGTGGCAATTTGATCAATTGCCCAACTGCAAAATTGAAAGAAAAAAAACACACGTAAACTTTTAATGTTAAATGATTACTTCTTAATAGAAAGAAAAAAAGAAAGAAAGAAAGAAAGAACGACATGAACAGACTGAGAAAGAAAGAAAGAAAGAAAGAAAGAAAGAAAGACATGAATAGATAGATAGATAGATAGATAGATAGATAGATAGATAGATAGATAGATAATTTGGCAAATTTGAATTAATCTAGCATTAAATTTTTTCAAGCTGTAGAAAAATATACAATTTTTACATCATTTGAAAGAGAAATAAATTCTACATAAAGCTTATACAATAAAACTAATTTATATTGTTTTGATTAGAAACATATTCTGAAATGAATAAAACTTTAACCATCGGTCTTAAACTTATTTAGATAGATAGATAGATAGATAGATAGATAGATAGACTCATATGACTTGATAGCAAATTAGTACGTCTGACGTCTGTTGCTAGCGTAGCGAATTCGTTCCTCACAAGTACCTCATTACTGTGGACTTATGTAACACAAATATATAAATCCCTCTAATCTTGTCATTTACACATATAGCATACTCTTTATATATATATATATATATATATATATATAACACCTTCCTCAATATTAATCGTGTCTATAATTTCCCCATCAATTTTAATACAAGCAGATAATTTAACACACAAAACGTAAAGAAAATATCCCCCACGACGATCAACGACGATGGAAAACGCTTGGAAACCGAATTTAGGGTCCCTCTTCTGCCAGTTGGACCCTGACTCACGAAAGATCGTACGTCTGTTTCATGGCTGAAAAAATTCTCAGGTCATATATGTTGTGTTTCAGCTCGACTATTTATATATGCTGTTCAATGATGCGCTGTGTCTAGCACGATCTATTGTATTATCCTAATGTTTATTGCATCAGCCCTAACGTTTATATTTCAAATTATTCAAGTGGTTATTGAGTAGAAATAATTGTACATCCGAATCCAGTTTATTGTATGTATTTTGTCCGTTAACTTTTTACTCACTATTTAATATTGATTACTAAATTATTTATTGTTTATTATTATACCATTTATTTGTGTCCCTGTGTTTATTCGTAGTTTGTTAATTTGTTTATTATTTACTTTATTTATTTATTTAGATTTTTGGTTTATTTTATTTATTTTTTGTTGGATTTGGTTTTTCTTACTTAGTTTAAAATATTGGCTTTGTGTAAAGTATTTTACTTTATCTGCGTTGTATACTGGGGCATATATTTACATTTTTTATATTTTACAAGGTATTCATTTTTAGTTTTCGATTTTTAAGTAGCATAGTAAAAATTTGTTTTCACGTCTGCATTTAAACATGAGTTCTAGTCGTTTAATTAGCAATTTTTCTTGGTCTGGATGGTGATTACAGTTATTTTCTCTTCCAGACAGAGTTTACAGTTTTTGGATTTATTGTTGCAGGTTGATGCTGTTTTTCTTATTTTCCATATTTTTCGTGTGATTTTGTTTATAATTTCCCATATAAGTTAATGTAACAGGACAATGGTCCTGGTTGTGTCATACTGGTACACGGTAAGTGCTTAGTGACTTGAGGTATTAATAATAATTAAATAATTCTTAGCGATGAAGTAGAGATATTAGAAGGAGAAAAATATGGGAGAGTGGTTAATCGGATTGGAATCAGATAAAAAAAATCTGGTTTGGATATATCAATTTAAACCCATAAAATATTTCCAAGGAAAGCCTCGGAAGAGTGTAAACTTGAATTAAACTAAGTAAGATTAAATAAAATTCAATACAACTGACACCTTTGGCTTAAATCCATAAAACTAAGGAAATCAACACTCTATTTACATTATTCGGACTATTGTCCTCATCTTTGTCGCCATATTTATTACAACGTTTCGGCCGTTGTACGTTCCGGCCTTCTTCAGGTTGTTGGAATGTTGAACTGAGCTCTCTGGGGGTAGACTGCTCTAGTTCCACGTGCTATATTTAATGCATGTCAGTTAGCAGTTATCTCCTGTTAATTCCCCTTTCCAAGTTCTCCACTGCCTTAGCCGGGTAACACCTTGGGTCCTGTCACTGGCTCTAACCAACGCCTTTATCCACTGTGCCATGTGTCCTTGAGGACATCTGTGTATGAATTTCTGCGTATTATAATCCTAATGTCTTCAGCAATCATTTTTCACCAGTGCTCATATTGCAATTTTTGCGGTTATCATTGCATGTTTTTACCAGAGCTCATATTGCAATTTTTTGTTGTTATCACTTTTCTCTGGCACTCCTTATTACTGTCATGACTTACGAGTTTGTCAACGTCCACGATATTTCCGGTAACTACAGGGTTTATATTTTTAGCAACCTATGCGGTGTATTCACGTTGATTTCAGTGTAAATTTTGGAACCTTAAAAACCCACGCGAAAATTGAAAAGCACTTCATAGATGTCTTTCAATTGCGATCACTTCCAAGTTTGGCTTGTCAAACTCTCTGCCTCTGTGTAGAGAGGAACCCAGACGAGACTCTGCTTCAGCATAGCCTCGTCTGGGGTGGTAGACAGCTACACGACCCCGTTTTTACAGGGTCTACGGGGATATTTTTGCCTGAGCCTACGGGCTTGGATACCTCACAATAAACTCGGCCTTGTGCCACATCCGACCGCGTGGGGTGGTTAGTGAATATCTTCATAGATGACAATCTAGGTTATATAGCAGGATATTCTTTGAGAAGCTAGTTATTCCCGGACCAAAGTCTATATAAATGACGTACGTACACGCAGAAATCAGACTTTCAGCAGAGTTCGAGGGAGTCATCCTAAGATCCTAAGAGCGTGTCCTTCGCGAAAACAGCTAACCCCGCCCTTCTTCGTGCATTAGAGAAAATCGCCCGTAAAAATTATTCCCTACTGAGATGTTATCACCACCAGTACTACTTAAGAATCAGACGTCTATCAGTGCCTCAAGGGCAGAAAAGGAAAGAACGGGGCGAAACAGCCACACAGCTGTTTTAAGAACTTTATATTTAACCGTTAAGTAAATTTTTGATAATCTTCTGTTGTCACGTTTACATCTTTTTCAGCAAGATGTTACGACGCTGAAGAAACAGTACGATCGAAATTTCGCCCAGATCAACAGAGTCGCGACCTGTTATTTTCTTACAGGTACACAACAAACGGAAATGACAGCTTGAAATTGATTGTATTGAACGCAAATAACCTTCACAGAAATGTAGACCGCACCCACTGGTATAATATTCGAAACCTAGACAGGTGTGTTGCATTTGATGAACAGCGCAAGTGCAGGTTATATATGGTTGTTACGGTCAGAGGTCAGATTATATTTAGAAAGGGTCGTGCTGCTTGCGTATTTACTATTTATAAAAGATATTTTGTGCGCGTAGCTTCTCTGTTTCCAGTTAATCCTATGTGCATTTTGTCTTCGTTATTTGCTGATTTTACGGTGGCTTGGCATATTATATTGTTTTGCAAGCAATTGCTATCTAAGGGACATTCGTTCTTTATTCTGTTGTTAGTGGTGGTTTTACTTTTGGGGGCGGTTTATTTGTTATTTTTCTGTGATGCTATTTTTATTTGTGTCATGTTCTGGGTGTAACTGTAACTAATTTTTACTATGTTTCATATCTTATAAAGAATGCTTGATGAAGTGTTTGTGTATGAGTTTAATGAATATTTTCCCGTTTTTGAAAGAGACGCCCAGATTTTTTTTTATTATTTTAAAGTTTAAACTCGAGAAAACTTAATAAAAAAAATGTGCTCCCCAGCAGTGTTTGAACTTGCACCCCACCTCTTTGTAGGAGAACACCGTTTGAACTAGCGTGCTTTCGACCGCTCGGTCTTAAAACTTTGTAACACTTTCTATAACATATATAAAGCAACGTCAAGCAAGGATCTATTTTATCTTTAAAACACATTCACTCGTTCATATCTGCTTAATTTCGTATCCGAAACGTAATCGAGGCAGTTTCTAAAGATTTAGTGGATCTTATTTTTAATCCGACATATAAGAGGGAATATTATCAGGTATCATAGATATAATCCCGTCAATACAATTAAGGATAAGCATGTCAGTTAAAAGACCACTCTTGCGGTACAAAGACGAACTCAAAGACAATCACTACCACACACTGAACATACACAGAACACACACACTCTACTAAGCTGATAATTGAATCATCCTTGATAATGGCTAAAGGTATAGCCGAAAGCGCTCGGAAACACAGAACATTCGGACAGTTCTTACACACTCTTTGTCCAGAAAAGAAAGCTCTTGTCAGAACACAAGAAAAATTAAATAAAAAGCTCAACCGTAGTACCTTGTCTGTCGTTTTTAATGAAACATGCATATATATATATATATATATATACACACACACACACACACACACACACACACACACACACACACACAAACACACACATATATATATATATATATATATATATATATATATATATGAAGAAATATAGTGTAGGGTGTGCTACTGTTTATGGGATAAAGTGCTCAATATCAGAGATAGAGTGTGTGTGAATATAAAAGTGAACATTGAAGTCAACACTCAGAGGCGACAGTAGAGTAGGGAATTTCAGCTTTTATTTCCTGGTATTTACATTTAGATGAGTTAAACAACTTAGGAATTTTTGTATCAGATCACCTCATTTTAGGTGAACAAAAGTAAAGGAACTGATAGTCATAAAGTAAATAACATATAATATTTGGTTACATAATCCATGCTTACAATAACTGCATCAAACCTGCAACTCATTGGCATCACCAAAGCTATTGTATTCTTCATTTGTAATGCTTTTTCAGAATTTTAACGAAGCCTCTTTTACTTCTTGTTTCTTTAGAGATATTTCTTCCCTCAGTCTTCTCTTCAGGAGATGCAGTTCAGACTCTAATGTGATCTCGGTACTGTCCACTTTTATCCCCTGATGAAGTCCTTTGTTGTGTTGGTCTTCTGCATGATAAACCTCCTCCATTTAGTTTGGATGCATTTCTCTGTAAGTTGGAAGATGAAATGTGACTGTAGACTTTTGAAGTCATTCTGCTGCAACCATCATGAATTGCATCATCAATAAATATGAATGAGCCTGTTCCAAAAGCAGCCATGCAAGGCCAAGCCAAGACACTGTCTCCAACATGCTTCACAGTTTAGTTTGTATGCTTTGAATCACAAGCAGATTCTTTTTTTTTTTCTCCACACTTTGGCCTTTCCATCACTTTGGTAGAGATTAATCTTGGTCACATCAGTTCACAAAACTTTCTTCCGGCACTTTTGACGCTCATCTCTGTACTTCCTTGCAACTTCCAGTTTGACTCCTGATTAGTGGTTTGCATCTTATGGTATGGCTTCTTATGGTATGGCTTCTTCTTATGGTATGGCTTCTTATGGTATGGCTTCTTTGAGCGGTGGATTCAAAACCTTAACCTTTGCTCAGTGGTGGTTTTTGATTATGTCACTGACTGTTGTTTTGAAGTGTTTCCTCACTGCTCTCACAATATTTCTATCATCAAATGCTGTTGTTTTCCTTGGCCGACCTGTTTTATGTCTGTTGCTCAGTACAACAATAGTTTCTTTCTTTCTCAGGACATTCCAAATTATTGCGCTGGTTATGACCAATGTTTCTCCAATCGCTCTGATCGATTCTCCTTCTTTTCTCAGTTTCAAAATGGCTTGCTTTTCTCCCATATACAGTTCTCTCATCTTCATTTTGTTTATCGTTTTTAAAGAAAGGATATCCTTACAGGGGAAACCCTGGATAAAAATCAAGAGTAGTCATTCAGAGCTATATAATGTTTAAACAATCGATCTAAAAGGCTACATCTAGGCAACAAGAAACACCTGTCTGTCATTTGTTCCAATAGTTTTGCTCACTTGAAAAATATGTAGGTTCAAACAAAAGGTGATATGTCCTAAATTGTTTAACACATCTAAATATAAATACCAGGAAATAAAAGCTGGAATCCTGGCCTCTTATTTTAGAAGAATCAGGCACGTTGATCACATACATAAGTAGCACCAATATTTTCCTGGTAATTGTTATGATGAACTTTCCTCTATGGTACCTTGATTTTACGAATTTAATCGCAATATTAAATTGGCGGCAAGAGGTCTCATCTTTTGACAGTGGAAATGGATAGATATAACCGTAAGTTCTATGCTAATAGTTTTTTCTATCGCACTTCTCGCTTATGCAACTCTCTTCCGGCTTCTTGCTTCTCAGTAAACTTTGATCTTCAAAACTTTAAATGCAATATCAATCGTTATCTTCTGTCTTTTTAATTCTTGAAAAAAATCATATATATGTTTTAGAGATCTGCTTGCATGACGTTAATAACAAGCCAACTTGTTTATATCACTAACATTACAGTTTGCATATTTTATTAATGACAATTTCGAAAATACATAATTTTTATAATTCGTGCTAAAAAATGCTACTAACAAATATGCTACCACCAAAGAAAAGCAATACCTAATGTTTCAAATGCATTTTAAAAATGAAAAATCTTTCTTGAAGCTTTTGTTTTAGTTTTAAATCAAAACTTAAGATTAAATTTAATATTTCCAATAAACAAAACACTTTGCTGCATTTAAAACTGAATTTAAATTGATTAGAATGAGTTTTTATGGTTAGTAAAAACACTAAAATTGTCCATATTGCAAAATCTGTCAACACGAAATAATTCTCTTTATTAAAAAATCTTTCAAGAATAAAATATATTTTTTTGAAATTTTATTTAAGGAATATTAGCTGATTTAAAGTTAAATTAAACTGATTTGAAGCAAATATTACTTTTAGTTTAAAATATTGCAGAAAATCATTTTGTAACATAGAAGTGGGTGTTTTCATGGGGTGTTGACAACTTTCTCGATAGACTTATGTTTGGCAATTTTTTCTAAATGGGACATAAATATAACAATTATTTGAAAAATATAATGTGATTTTTTATATAATTTTTTAACTACCCATCAACCTTAAAAATTTAAGAAAATATTCTATTTTACTGAATTTCAGGTACTTTACTTCAGGTACTGAATATTCTATTTTACTGAATTTCAGGTACTTTACTTGTTGAGAAAATATTTGAAAATTACCAATAAATTTTAACTTTCCTATAGTTACCACTCTTATTTTCTGATAATGTCATGTTTGAACACCCGTATTTACATAAATTGGCACACACAAAATAACTTCAAAATTATTCTTAAAATATAGGAAGTTGTTGAATTGTAGTGAGATTTTCCATTTATGATTAGTAATTATAGTATTTGCCTAATATCAATATCAACAAATAATAATAGTAATTATAGTATTTGCTTAATAGCAATATCACCAAATTAAAACATAATTTTAAATGATTTAAAACTTTATAAATTATTATAATTAAAATTTAAAGAAAATAGAAAAAATACTTGTAAAAATTCAGTATTCATCAATAGTCCAGAATATATTTTGTACATCATGTAATTTGTTCATAATGTAATATGTGCATAATGTAATTTGTACATCATGTAATTTGTGCATCATTTAATTTGTATATCATGTAATTTGTACATAATGTATTTTGTACATCATGTAATTTGTGCATCATTTAATTTGTATATCATGTAATTTGTACATAATGTATTTTGTACATCATGTAATTTGTGAATCATTTAATTTGTATATCATGTAATTTGTACATAATGTATTTTGTACATCATGTAATTTGTGCATCATTTAATTTGTATATTATGTAATTTGTACATAATGTATTTCCCATGCTAATTTATGGTCACACACTAATGCATAAAAAACAAACATTTTCAACAAAATTTGCATGTTCTAAGAACGGAACAAAAAATAATTTAATAGTGAAAAAAAATCTTTGGTCTTTCCTCTTAAAAATGGCTTAAAGATTTTGATAAATGTTTTTTATTAAGCTTGAGGCATTTTTTCATCATGGTATGCTCAGTTTTTAGCAAATCTTTGGAAGTACCTATGATAAATGTATTTGCTTTTTTTTATCACTTTTTTCTCCACCAAATCTTGTGGCATGCCAGTAACAAAATATATTGTCAAGGTGTTTGAAGATAAAAAATTGAAAAGTGAATTTTCTTATAAACGTTATTACAAAGTAGACCCGGACAGCTAAAACCAGGATTCAAATACAGTTAGATGACACACCAGATCGATAAACATGCCACCAAATGTACATAAAATCTATCCATTAATTATGACTCACAAAGCTTCAAAATAACTTTGACTAATGTAATAAATTTGGTAATTCCAAGAAGAAATAAATTCAGTAATTCCAAGATAAATAAATTTGGTAATCCCAAGCTGCTCCACAGTAGTGAATTTTTTTTTGAAATACAGTTTCACTAAATACAGACAGAAAAAATCAGATTTATATATATATTTTTTTTTTCTCTAGAAAAATGAAAGAAAATTACAATCAGGTCAAAAGAGATAAAAAAATTTCAGAATTTTGCCACTGCATCAAACGACAGACAACCTACTGGTATCCTCTCCAGCCCACAACGACCTCTCCCTCCCTGAGTACGTGTCTCATAGTAATATTGACATGTCTTTGGATCTCTTTTGATTATATACTATAGTCGCGTTTCTTTCCAACTACTTAATTAAAGGCTCGTCAAGTTGTTTTTGCGTAGCTCATTTGTTTTTCTATGAGAGACTCACCAAACAGATTTTCCATTCACAAATTTAGCCTTTGACCTGTGTGTCTTTGGTTTTTTTTTTTTTGGTTCATTTTGTTTTTGGTCAGGTATTTATTTGTTTATTTGTTGTTGTTTTTTTGTTTTTTTTTCAATGAGTGGTTTAGGACAAATCGAGTCTGCACCCTGGAGGGTGTTCGTAAATTAGACAAAATGTTAAAAATAGTAGCCAAATAGGGACAGAAGACGTGAATGGGGAAATGACGTAAGAAACACGCCAAATGATTTAAACAGCTACTTGATTAAAGTTATAAAACAATATTCATTCATTAATTTACAAAAACTGGATACTGTGATAGATAGATAGATAGATATGAACAGATTAAGATAGATATGAATCAACATAGATAGATAGATAGATAGATAGATAGATAGATAGATATGAACAGATTAAGATAGATATGAATCAACATAGATAGATAGATAGATAGATAGATAGATATGAACAGATTAAGATAGATATGAATCAACATAGATAGATAGATAGATAGATAGATAGATAGATAGATAGATAAATAGAGAGATATGAACAGATTAAGATAGATATGAATCGACATAGATAGATGGATAGATAGATAAATATGAACAGATTAAGATAGATATGAATCAACATAGATAGATAGATAGATAGATAGATAGATAGATAGATAGATAGATATGAACAGATTAAGATAGATATGAATCAACATAGATAGATAGATAGATAGATAGATAGATAGATAGATATGAACAGATTAAGATAGATATGAATCGACATAGATAGATGGATAGATAGATAAATATGAACAGATTAAGATAGATATGAATCAACATAGATAGATAGATAGATAGATAGATAGATAGATAGATATGAACAGATTAAGATAGATATGAATCAACATAGATAGATAGATAGATAGATAGATAGATAGATAGATAGATATGAAAGATTGAGATAGATATGAAGAGATTTAGATAGATAGATAGATAGATAGATAGATAGATAGATAGATAGATAGATATGTACAGATTAAGATAGATATGAATCAACATAGATAGATAGATAGATATGAACAGATTAAGATAGATATGAATCAACATAGATAGAGAGATAGATAGATAGATAGATTGAGAAAGATATGAAGAGATTTAGATAGATAGATAGATAGATAGATAGATAGATAGATAGATAGATAGATAGATAGATAGATTGAACAGCATGAGAGAGAGATATAGATAGATATGAACAGATTGAGATACATATGAATAGATTCAGATAGATTGAACAACAATAGATAGATAAACTGAACAGAAATAGATAGATAGATTGATAGATAGATCAGTACTAGAGAGAGAGATCAGCACTAAAAAGATATATAGATAGATATATCAGTACCAGATAGATAGATCAGCACGAGATAGATAGATTAAGCATCACTTCATAGATAAATTGAACAGTACTAGATAGATAGATAGATAGATAGATAGATAGATAGATAGATAGATAGATAATGAACATTGTGAGATTGATATGAATATTCTCAAGCAGATGTTATGATGTGAATGAGAAAATCTGAAAAAAAATCCTAATATGTTAACCATATCTTGATCTCTATTATAAACGTTCATATTCGCTGTCAATATTTCCCGTTGTTTCTCTTTCGTCAGCAAATATTTAACCGTCTGTTTATTTCCAGAAGGTCATAAATCATGTTGGGCAAATTGCACTGCACTTTGAAGGACATTCTATCCGGCCGCGTGTCTCTCCAGGTGAAGTGAAACAATTGATAAGAACCATTAATGGGATTGCATTCACTGACTTCATAAAAAATCATTCGATTTTTTTAAATATGAACAAATTAGATAGTAATCAACCATATAAAACAAATGAAAATATAAAAGCCAAACCATATTCAGCCATATTTTCATTTCGTAAAATGAAACTGGTAAGTGACATTAGTCTTTTGTCTATCAGATAAGATCATCGGCAAATTAAGTCCAATAATTAATGCAGTCAGCACGTTCAGCATCAATAGCATCACAATCTCAGACACCCTTAGATAATAACAAATATGAAAATTACTGCTTTTAATTTCTTTATACAATCTATTCATATTGCTGAAATGTTTTTCTGAATGAGATAAAAACTGGATAAACTATACAAGGATATTGAACATTCAGAAAAATTGCAAGGAGAAAGGATATCAGATATAAAGTAGGAAAAGTAAAATTGGAAATATGATTACTAGTAATATTACTAGTAGAAATAAAGCAATTGAAATGAAGATGAAAGAAATCCTAGTCCAAAATGAATAATGCTTGACAATGACTTATCTAATGAAAATTCCAGATAATATTACTACTACTAGTTGAAATAAAGCAATTGAAATGAAGATGAAAGAAATCCTCGTCTAAAATGAATAATGCTTGACAATGACTTATCTAATGAAAATTACAGATAATATTACTACTACTAGTGGAAATAAAGCAATTGAAATGACAATGAAAGAAATCCTAGTCCAAAATGAATAATGCTTGACAATACTTCATCTAAAAAAATTTCCAGATAATATTACTACTACTAGTTGAAATAAAGCAATTGAAATGAAGATGAAAGAAATCCTAGTCCAAAATGAATAATGCTTGACAATGACTTATCTAATGAAAATTCCAGATAATATTACTACTACTAGTTGAAATAAAGCAATTGTAATGAAGATGAAAGAAATCCTCGTCGAAAATGAATAATGCTTGACAATGACTTATCTAATGAAAATTCCAGATAATATTACTACTACTAGTGGAAATAAAGCAATTGAAATGAAGATGAAAGAAATCCTCATCTAAAATGAATAATGCTTAACAATACTTCATTTAATCAAATTTCCAGATAATATTACTACTACTAGTGGAAATAAAGCAATTGAAATGAAGATGAAAGAAATCCTCATCTAAAATGAATAATGCTTAACAATACTTCATCTAATCAAATTTCCAGATAATATTACTACTACTAGTGGAAATAAAGCAATTGAAATGAAGATGAAAGAAATCCTCATCTAAAATGAATAATGCTTAACAATACTTCATTTAATCAAATTTCCAGATAATATTACTACTACTAGTGAAAATAAAGCATTTGAAATGAAGATGAAAGAAATCCTAGTCCAAAATGAATAATGCTTGACAATGACATATCTAAGGAAAATTCAAGATAATATTACTACTACTAGTGTAAATAAAGCAATTGAAATGAAGATGAAAGAAATCCTAGTCCAAAATGAATAATGCTCGACAATGAATTATCTAATGAAAATTCCAGATAATATTACTACTACTAGCGGAAATAAAGCAATTGAAATGAAGATGAAAGAAATCCTAGTCCAAAATGAATAATGCTTGACAATGCTTCATCTAATCAAATTTCCAGATAATATTACTACTACTAGTGGAAATAAAGCAATTGAAATGAAGATGAAAGAAATCCTCATCTAAAATGAATAATGCTTAACAATACTTCATCTAATCAAATTTCCAGATAATATTACTACTACTAGTGGAAATAAAGCAATTGAAATGAAGATGAAAGAAATCCTCATCTAAAATGAATAATGCTTAACAATACTTCATTTAATCAAATTTCCAGATAATATTACTAAGATGAAAGAAATCCTAGTCCAAAATGAATAATGCTTGACAATGACATATCTAAGGAAAATTCAAGATAATATTACTACTACTAGTGTAAATAAAGCAATTGAAATGAAGATGAAAGAAATCCTAGTCCAAAATGAATAATGCTCGACAATACTTCATCTAATCAAATTTCCAGATAATATTAATACTACTAGTGGAAATAAAGCAATTGAAACTAAGATGAAAGAAATCCTCGTCTAAAATGAATAATGCTTGACAATGACTTATCTAATGAAAATTCCAGATAAGATTACTACAACTAGTTGAAATAAAGCAATTGAAATGAAGATGAAAGAAATCCTCATCCAAAATGAATAATGCTTGACAATGACTTATCTAATGAAAATTCCAGATAATATTACTACTACTAGTGGAAATAAAGCAATTGAAACTAAGATGAAAGAAATCCTAGTCCAAAATGAATAATGCTTGACAATGACTTATCTAATTGAAACTGAAATAAAGCAATTGAAACTAAGATGAAAGAAATCCTCGTCTAAAATGAATAATGCTTAACAATACTTCATCTAATCAAATTTCCAGATAATATTACTACTACTAGTGGAAATAAAGCAATTGAAATGACGATGAAAGAAATCCTAGTCCAAAATGAATAATGCTTGACAATACTTCATCTAATCAAATTTCCAGATAATATTACTACTACTAGTGGAAATAAAGCAATTGAAATAAAGATGAAAGAAATCCTAGTCCAAAATGAATAATGCTTGACAATGACTTATCTAATGGAAATTCCAGATAATATTAATACTACTAGTGGAAATAAAGCAATTGAAACTAAGATGAAAGAAATCCTCGTCTAAAATGAATAATGCTTGACAATGACTTATCTAATGAAAATTCCAGATAATATTACTACTACTAATAATACTTGGAAATAAAGCAATTGAAATGAAGATGAAAGAAATCCTAGTCCAAAATGAATAATGCTTGACAATGACTTATCTAATGAAAATTCAGATAATATTACTACTACTAATACTACTAGTGGAAATAAAGCAATTGAAATGAAGATGAAAAAGAAATCCTAGTCCAAAATGAATAATGCTTGACAATGACTTCATCTAATCAAAATTGCAGATAATATTACTTAAACTATACTACTAGTGAAAAAAAGCAATTGAAATGAAAGATGAAAAGAAATCCTAGTCCAAAATGAATAATGCTTGACAATGCTTATCTAATGGAAATTCCAGATAATATTACTACTACTAATACTACTAGTGGAAATAAAAGCAATTGAAATGAAGATGAAAGAAATCCTAGTCCAAAATGAATAATGCTTGACAATGACTTATCTAATCAAAATTCAGATAATATTACTACTACTAATACTACTAGTGGAAATAAAGCAATTGAAATGAAGATGAAAGAAAATAGTCCAAAATGAATAATGCTTGACAATGCTTCATCTAATCAAAATTTCCAGATAATATTACTACTACTAATACTACTAGTGGAAATAAAGCAATTGAAATGAAGATGAAAGAAATCCTAGTCCAAAATGAATAATGCTTGACAATGACTTCATCTAATCAAAATTCCAGATAATATTACTACTAATACTACTAGTGGAAATAAAAGCAATTGAAATGAAGATGAAAGAAATCCTAGTCCAAAATGAATAATGCTTGACAATGTTTCATCTAATCAAAATTGCAGATAATATTACTACTACTAATACTACTAGAAATAAAGCAATTGAAATGAAGATGAAAGAAATCCTAGTCCAAAATGAATAATGCTTGACAATGCTTCATCTAATCCAAATTTGCAGATAATATTACTACTACTAATACTACTAGTGGAAATAAAGCAATTGAAATGAAGATGAAAATCCTCCTAGTCCAAAATGAATAAT